CTTATCTCTATACCCGAAATTATAATAAATGTTTTATTATGTTAGTTAATAATAAAAATAAACGAAGATATCTGGACGATTGGCATTATTAATTGAAAGTTGATGAACAATCGATCTACAAAATAAAGTACGAGAGTAAAGGTGAAAGTGACAGGTGAGGCCCACTCCTATTTATATCTTCGAAAGGCTTAATTGCCAACCATCCTCAACCGTTATATCAAGTCAGATCTAACGACTCCAAGCATCCAACCCTTCAGATTTTGTTAGGTACATAATTCAAAGCGCCATGTGTCTCTTCCCAATAATCATATTTTTAAATACCTCAAAAGATATTCAACCAATACACCAAACAATTTGAGGGCCTGAAAGATTTTAACCACCCTTAGTCCGCACGAATAGTGACAGTCATCTAGCCAACTTAAAACCCTTCGCTAGTCATTTTAGGCTCAGGCTTGAGGGACCTATGTACCGTATGACCACTCAGTCAGTCATGGACCGAATGGTCAGCCTTTACAACAACCCATGAGCGAACCACCTTTGGAATGAACAATTAGGAAAGTAAATCAATCGTTAAAACTCTGGACAATTAACCTTAATGCTGACTAAATCAGAGGTAAAATATGATTATCCACAACTAGGCCGTAATTAGGCTGATGTTAATAAAAAAACTCACTCCAAAACCTATTAACACAGGTTTGAGATAAGAAGATAGGTGATCTACATTTACTGTATCTTTAATAGCTAAGCTATCAAATGTCGAACTGACTTGAACATCAAAGTCTCCTTTGCAAGTACTCTCTAAATGATTTGGACAAACTATCTAAAAGATCTGTTTTATTTAGCACTCAATTTTGAGACAACTTTCAAACTCTAGACGATTCACCAAAATTTAGATTTTTAACCTTATCTCTATACCCGAAATTATAATAAATGTTTTATTATGTTAGTTAATAATAAAAAAAAACGAAGATAACTGGACGATTGGCATTATTATTTGAAAGTTGATGAACAATCGATCTACAAAATAAAGTACGAGAGTAAAGGTGAAAGTGACAGGTGAGGCCCACTCCTATTTATATCTTCGAAAGGCTCAATTGCCAACCATCCTCAACCGTTATATCAAGTCAGATCTAACGACTCCATGCATCCAACCCTTCAGATTTTGTTAGGTACATAATTCAAAGCGCCATGTGTCTCTTCCCAATAATCATATTTTTAAATACCTCAAAAGATATTCAACCAATACACCAAACAATTTGAGGGCCTGAAAGATTTTAATCACCCTTAGTCCGCACGAATAGTGACAGTCATCTAGCCAACTTAAATACCCTTTTCTGTCAAATTTCTCGAAGTTTTAAATCTTTTACAAAATTAATGTATAAACTTGGTCAAGTAATTTTCTGTATTAAAATCTCCAATCTACACTTTATAATTAGTAAATTGACAATAAAGTGTTTAAAATGAACTAACAGAAAAAAAGAATCTTTGAGAGACATTTTTATAATTACTTATCATTCAAATATTTGTTCATTCTAAATTAAGAAAGAGGAAAGTGTCATTTAAACATTTTTCATTGAAAGAAAAAAAATGTAGTTTATTCAAAAAAATTAATTAGAAAGCAAGTCCCTTCATAAACGAGAAAAAATTGATAAATAATTAATACATGTCTTGTTAAATTTTATAAAAAAAAATTTCCACAGTTAAAATACAATAGAAATTTCCATTTTCTTAAAAATCTTTCATTAAAATTATATTTAAATTTATCCCGATTATAAATTTTACATACAATATAAAAACCATTCTTTATATATAAAACAAATAGACAGTCAATAAGTCGAAAGAAAATTCATCTCTTATGCTACACAATGATATAAAATATAAACAAAAGAGATATATGTGTCCAAATTTCTATGAGAATCAAGATAAAGAAAAAAATAAAATTCTAAATATCAATATTAAAAAATATTTATTATAGATTTTTATAGAAAAAACATTATATCAGCAAAAGTCCAGCACATGAATTTCTTCTTTAAGATAATTTTTTTTCCGTCAAATTTACTTTAAATCTTACTCATTGTTTAAAGGACTTGAATTTTCATGGAACACATGATGTGAAGTTAATTTAATTTAATTAATTTTAAACTTTGAGTGGTGTATATACAATTACATTAAGAAAAACTTGATATTTATATAATAATTTCCAATTAGTCAATGGAATAGGGTTTCCAATTATATAATATGTAATTAAATTTTAAAGTACAGTTCAACATTGATACTGAAGATCCGAAAACGTGTGATGGCTGATCCACTACTCAATAATTTAGGCTATGTTTGGATTTAAAACGAAATACTTTAAATCAGTTTTCAATTTTCATTAAAGAAAATCTCAACACTTTTAATACTTAAAAAAATATTATTTAAATGTAAAGTGTACTTCAAATTCCTTTTAACTTCAAAGTTATACCATTTTCTTTTGATTTTAGTTAAATTCAATTTAACTTAATTTCATAAAATGAAGTTTGAAAATAACGGTGACAGTCACCAAGCACTTATTTTCTTTCTTAAATTCCTTCTGACAAACGTGAAAAGCACTTTCCATTTATATGCTTTAATAATACCACGTGACACCCATTGATACGTATATGCCAGACTCTTACTATTTTTTTTTCTTCTTATTTTTCTGTCACATCTGATATATTCTGTTGTATATTTAAACAATCCAATATTCTAGATAGCTATTATCATATTCCGAATTAATGTTCTGTGTAATTAATTATTAATCAAGACTTTTTGAAAAAATCTCAGGTACGATTAGATCTTTCTGGCAATGATAAGGTTTTATTTAACACTATCCATTAGAAATTACAGAGTGACATTTTTTTTTTTACTTTATCATAATAGAACTTCACATGTTTAAAATTATATTGCAGGAATATAGCAACAGACGTAATTATGATATTTTAAAAAATAATTTAAATAACTTATAAATTAGAGTATTTTTTTACTTTAGCTTTATTAAAAAATCTTTGTTTACATTTTTTTAATTTATGTAAATATATTATTAATTAATTTTATCTTTAAGATGATAAATTAATTAATAAACACTTTATTTTTCTAAATAAATATGTATGAAAAATTATAATTTTAAAAAATAAGCTAAACTAAATCCATTTAAACTGTAGGAGGAAAAAATTATGTTGGCTAGATGTGGACCATTTTATACATTTTTTTAATCTATCTTTCACACCAAATTTAAATTAACAATTTTAATATAAATATAAAATTTAGATTTTGGTGGCATTATCTGTTTTTTTAATTAACTTTTAACAAGTTGGTTTGAATAAAAACTAGTATTTTAAAGCGAGTTATTAATTATTTATCTCTGTTTAGAAATAACTCATTAAAAATGATATTTTAAAATGAAAAAACAGAAAAAAAAAACATATAAATGTCACTCCCAAATTAAATTAGTCAAAAAGAGGTACCAAAATTAAGTGCGAATGAACTTTTCGACAGAAAAACCGGCCGACGAAAAATAGAAACGAATCATAAAGGCTCAATAAAATCTTTAAAATAATTTCAAAATTCACCAGTATAAATGTGCAATAAATAATGCAAAACTTTGTCGTCCAAAAGAAAAAAATAGCTTGAAATTAATTTATATACAACTTAAAAATAAAAAAATAATAAATTACATTAGATAATTTGATAAATTAGTTAATAAGAAATTAACTTTCAGTGGAGGACTTGATCTGTCAAAATCAGATTGAGAGAAAAGGTTCCTTCAGTACTTTTTGGTGATTATCACCATCGTTTTCTTTTTTCTTTTCAATTATTATAAATATATTAACTCATCTCAAACTCTGGCAGCTGAAGAAAGCAAAATTGGTTTGTGAAGTTTGAAGAGTTACAAAAAGGAATTGATTCAACCTTGACAGTCTTAAAGTTCAAGCGTAGGCTCATTATTTTTCATTTGAGTTTAGGTTTCCCATGAAAAAAATATCGTTACATTATTTTTAAGATTTTCTTAGGAATGACACTGAAAAATATTGACAGTAATAAACCTTGAAAAAACACTATTTTAAACTTAAAAGTTCAAAATAATATATTTTATTAAAATAAAATTATTATTTAAATGTGTGACACCTATTTAAGTCACTATGATTTTTATAATCTATCTTATTTGGTGAACAAGTTTTCAAGCAAAATAATGTTAGATTCTTTGTTATATTAACACAATTCTTAATAACAATTGTAATGATATGAAAATAGTGAGAATTAGAATAGTGATAACAGTTATATTAATATTTATCAGGCTAAAGGAATCTGAGAATTTGAAGCTGAAATTTCTAATTAAATAAGCATAATCTATGGCAGTTGAGACAACCGTTTAAAGAGTATCTTTTGTGAGTGAAACTGTGGTTCGGAGTTTTTAAGGCCGAGTGGTTACTTTCTATTCACCTTAGGTGGCTTCAAGGGATTAATGGTAATATATTAAACAAGTTTTTCCACTTTCCAAGTTGGAGGCTTTTTATGATTCATCACATCACGCATCTAACCAAATTATTTGCTTATAATTTATAAATAGCTTCTATCTGAATACTCTGTTTATTATTCTTACTATTCTGTGTTTAAACCAACACCAAAATCTTTGTTTTTCACGCAAACCGCGATAGCTCTTTCCTTATCTTCTCCGAATCCGAGGTGTAGCAGTAGCACTTTGGGTTGTCTCACAATCTCTTACTCGTTTCAGTTCGATTTTGCTAATTGGGTATACGATTTGTCTCTCATCATTGAACCGACCCTTATCTCTTATTAAGCAATATCGTCTTTTTCAGGTGGTCTAATTGTGACTTTTCATTCAATTATATTTCCTTTTCTGCTTTTATTTTTTATGGGGTTGTTTTTGATGTATGGAAAATTATGGAAAGCTTGCAACTTTAACTTTCCAGGTATAGAAATTTTGGTTTTGACGTGATTCCTGAATTTCTGCTTTCTGTTCTTTTTGGTTTTAACAAAAGCAATTTTCCGAGAAAGAGTCTAAATGTTGGAACCTGAGAGTTTGTTTACTTTGCTCTGCACTTCTGGGAGGTCTTGTTATGGCATTGTTGCTGGGAATGGATGAAATGAAATTGTTTGAGAAATAAACCATGTGCAATGTCTAATTATGCAGTGTAAATGTCTTTTGATGTCCCTTTATATTCTGCTCGTTTTCCAATTGGTTTCTACTAAGCAAACACTACTCTTCTTGTGATCGTGGAGGAGTGGAGGTTTTCTTGCTCTCTGCTTCAACTTGACGAGTGTTGGGAATGGAATAATAATGTTTGAAGAGTAAAATAGTTTCCTTGCCCTGCTTATTTTTGCCTCTTCTGGTTTATCTCTTATCAGATTTCATCTTTTCTTGTCTTGTAGATGTGTGTGGGTTATGAAAATGTAAAAGTGATTTCTGATATTTTGTTCAGTGAACATTATGGAGTGCATATTTTCCTATGCTGCTTAATTTATGCTTTTACCTGTGTGGTCTGGGTGTAATTTGGAGGATGATGTAGTCTATTAATGGGGTGTTACATACATTTATTAATCAACAACCTCTGACTTGGCTATTGTTTTGGTGGACTAAGAGAAGTTTTATCTGCTGGCATTGGTTGTCTTTTTCCTTTCAGGCATCCATCCATTAAAGTTCACAAGTTTGAGGTTCTCAAACAGTTAAATGGGGAATTGTGTGGCTAATAAGGTGAGAATGTTTGAAGCTGAAATCCTTTGACCTTTTACCTGTTACCTCTGATAAATTTCTTTGTTTTACATATAGCAGTCTCTTAAAGCAAAATAAATTTCCTGCAAAGTTTGTAGGGTGTTTTCTCATTGATAGTGTTTACCTGGATGGCATAATGAAAGGCTATTGTTTTGTAATTTTGAACTGAGATTTTTGCTGTGGCCTTGTGTCTGGATACCATTGTTCATGCGAATTGTGTTGTACTTTCTGTGTAAACGGTACCAGATAGGTTGGACAGTAATGAAACAAGAATAGAAAAACGATTATTGCAGGATCTAACAAACTTATGAGAGTTACGGATCTAACCCTATTGTTAAGTCAGTATGATGTGATTGTACTCCATCTGTAAGTTATATTTCTTCTGTCAGCCTTAGCTTTTCTGTTTCTCCCAGCTACTGGCTGCCAGAAAGAACAAGCATAAAGAGCTTTTAAGTGTGAAATGTCTTAGCTATGTCAACTTTTTGCAGCCTCAATGCTTGTATAACTTCATAATGTAATGAGTCCACATTGTTCATTGATAAGAAAGTTGACTGAGAAGGTTCATGTTTCTAATGGTTGTAGTCTCAAGCTAAGGATAGTGATTCTGATCATGATGTGGAGTTTGCTGCTGGCAATGTGAAACTTATTACCACCAAAGAAGCTTGGGACCAATATTTGGAAGAAGCTAGGAGGGATGGCAAAATTGTAAGTTTTCCCTCCTCTTTACTCTATAGGACAGTAAAATTTAAGATCTGTTTCTATTTTGCTGTGTTGTTTGGATGAACACCTAACACTAAATTTAAGCCTAATTCAATCTCACAAAACTCACTTGAAAAGAAATAAATAGCAGATTAGACCGAACAAATTTCCTAGAATACATTGATATATTCTATAATACTTACCAGATACGAGATTTCTGTCAATTTGTATGAAATGACTTTAATATTTCTAATAAATGATGTTTTCTTTTTGAAGAGAAATTTTCCATTTTTGTTTCCTTAATCTATTTCCTTGAGTAATCAGTTAGTATTTGTATAATTTGTTAGCTCTGGTTTAATAATTAATACTATAAATCCACGTTGTACAGGTGATTGCGAATTTCAGTGCAACATGGTGTGGTCCTTGTAAGGTGATTGCGCCATATTACTGCGAGTTATCTGAGAAATACACATCCATGATGTTCTTGCTAGTAGATGTGGATGAACTAACTGTAAGTACTGATTTATACCTTTAATTTAGTGTGAAGTGTTGTAGACATGTACCATTTCTGAGAAAAGTGAAGATGTTGATTCACTGCATATGTTGCAGGAGTTCAGCACTTCATGGGACATCAAAGCCACACCAACTTTCTTCTTTCTTAAAGATGGACAACAAGTTGACAAACTTGTAGGAGCCAACAAGCCAGAGCTGCAGAAGAAGATTGTTGCCATCAATGATTCACTTCCCGAATGCAAGCAGTGACTGTTTTCTCATTCTTCTTCTTGTGCCCTTTGTCCTTTCACAAGTCACAACCATTGTTCGCATGTTTTAATTTTGCTGTGAGTGTAGTTGTATTTTTCCTCGGATGTAAATATGAAACATGTGTGTCACATGAATTACTTCAATTCAGAGTGATGATGTTGTTGTAGTTAGAATAAGGCTGTTCTGCAAATGTAACAATTTGTTGTGTTTTGTTGTTTGAGAAAATTCAATTTTGTATCATGCCATATGCCTCCATTTCTCATTGGTTATGATATCACTGCACTACAAAATATTTGCAAAATCTAAATGCATAGATAGAGAGAGATTGTTCACCTACTTAGTGTCTAGCAATGCCAAGTATTTTTTAAGAATTCTCACTTTAGTTTTCAGAATAAAGATTATTAAATGAGTTTTCCCTTTCTCTTTTAACTTCGAAACATGTTTGTTTGGATAGCCTTTTCCATAAATATTAAAAAAAAAATAAAGATCCACTAAATTAATTTATAAATAAGTTAATTTTAACTAATAGGAGATTTTATTTCTTATTATTTTATTTTCTTCCAGATATTTTTGAATAAATTTTCCAAATTGATCTTTAATACTATCTTCTCTTTTATATATATAAATTTGGGATTAATTTGATTGATTTCTATTTGTTTATATTTTTTAATTTAAAAAGTAATATGATGACTTCTTAAAAATTCAGAAAAACGAAGTCACTCTTTACCGTAATATTGACCGGTTGGGAAAAGGCATACTGATGTTGCACTCATTCAAACACTTATTTTCTTATTACTCCAAAAAAATGTTGATGTAAAGCGAGGTTTATAAATTGATACATTAGATACAGTTGTATTAATAGATTTTCATCCACAAAAAATCTTATTTATTTACAAAAAAAATCAGATCCATTTATTAACAACTTATAGACAAATATCCAATCTTTTAATAAAATAATATTTAACAAAATTAAAAATAGTTTTTTTTTTAAATCGAGTCTTTAAAAATGTTAGAGTGAATTAGAATATATTAGACTAATAGAACCAGAATTTTATTTCAATATATAATATATTTTTGGACAAACTTGGTTTGTTAGCCTACTTCCATTCTCTCTCTAAAACTCCGTTCCTTTTTTCTCCACCTTCTCTCTACCACATCTCTGCATTCTCTCTTTCATTCCTCTTTACTCAGTCACTGGATTTTTGATCAGGTGGCGCCCAAACGTCCGCAACGTAGAGGGCTTCGCAACGGACCGATTCGTTTCGGGTTCTAGGCTGGTAAGTCCCTGCATGCAACCACTTCTTCGTTCTTAAAACTAACACCTGCAATCTCTACTGGTTGCATGTGTCTTGTGCTTTCATCTTTTTCATTTTTCACTCCATTCTAGCTCTAAGAGTTGTTCCTATCACCATTTCGGTGGTTTGTAGGGTTTGGTTGGGTCCTCGCTGTGTGAGGTACTCTAGAGAAGCATTTTTGTGAGCGGGGCAGTTCAACTCTGAGGTAAGGGGAGCTAGTTGTTTTTTTTTAAATCTGTTTCATAAATGTGTATGCATGTTGAATGTTGAACTGGTATGCTGCTTTGGACTACATTTTTAGTTTTAAGTATATTTAACGATTATGGACTGAAACATGTAGTTGATGAAACTGTAATGGCTTGCTTGTGAATTGAATTGGATGAACCTAGTTACTGTGAATTGAACAGGTGGGAAGTGGTTGGGGGTAAGATTTCTGTTGTAGTATTAATTAGATGGACA